TGCCTAGGTACAAGCATAACACCCAAAATATTTTAAAGAGGCGAGACTCCACTCTTTTAATGAGCGTATCCTCAACCTAACATGGATAACTCGACTGATCTTCATCATCCTCGTACCAAGACAGTAGAACTCTCGGCTTGCAACATGAAGTTCACTCCGTCGAGCTAAGGTCCTCGAAACAAGATCTGAGTTTCGGCCCATGCCCGGTATTCACTTTATTCGTTTGTCCAGTTTCCCCACACTGGCAAACATACAAATCAAACAAACAAATCTCAGATATAAACTCTTGGCCAAATAAAATATGTCTCAAGCAGATGAGCATAACAATAAACATGCAAACACAAGTCAAGTATTTGGAACAAACAACCACCATGGCCGGAAAATTAAAAGAAAAGACCATCTGGGCCGCTATTGCACCAATATTACAACAAAGAAGGCCTTTAGCTCCCCATCCAAAAGAATAATTTTGTGGCCACAAGGACCGCACTTGTTTGAAACTTACATAAACGGGCAACAACCTAGAAAAAACAAGATTACAAATTACAGCACACAGGCCAGAGCAGAATGAAAAAACTATCAAATATCACCCTTCAGTCTCTTCCTCGACAACGGGTGATAGTTGAGAGGTTCCCCCTGCGGGTTGGGCAGTGAGCTCTTCGAGGTAGTCGGGAACCAGGATCTTTCCGGCAACCACATAATAATTAACCCCCATCCCAAAGGTATTAAGCTCGACCCTAGGATTCAAGACACGGAGTTGCTTCAACGCGTTTTTAAAGCTCCCCTCAGAGGCGGCCTGAGTGTCATCCATCGCCAGTTGAAAACGAGCGACAAACTCAGCTTGGGTCTTCAGGCCCTTTGTATCCTCCGGCTCGTCTTCAGCAGGCGCTGCCTCGGCAGTCAAAATCTCCACCCTCTCCTCCAGATCCTTCTTTTCGAGCAACCAGACCATATGTTCCTCGGATAGCTTCCTGGGATCCTCTTGATCCAGCTTCCGATCTTTTTCCTCGTCGATACGGCCCTTCTCAACCGCGGCCAATTTGGCGCGTAATTTCTTCAGCTCGAATTCTTAAGAAGAGCTCCCCTCGGTGTAGGTGACTTCTATCTCCAGTATCCTCATCAGGCCACCAGCATCCTGCACTAACACTGCCCTTTTCTCCGGGCGACCCAGCCCTTCGAAGCCAGCAGGGGGGCATATCATACTTCCCTTTTCCCTTTTCCCAGGTCAAATCAACACTCCCCTTGACGCGTGGTCTCTTCGCCTTCGAGGACATAGGAGCGGGAGAGACGGCGACAATAACTTGACCCGAAGACGAGTTGCTCGACCTTTACGTGGGAGCAGTCTCTGAACCGGCCTAGGCATCTTTTAACACCTTTTTTTCCTTCACGGAAAAATTTCTGGCTATGCCTTCCTGAGCAGGATTCATGCTATCTACAGAGAAAACAACAAATTAAAGTTAGCAAACGAGGACTTGAAAATGTCGACCATATATAATTATTCAGAACATAAAGCTAAATACCCAAGTATTTAACGGGGTACTCACTCTCGAGGAGCTCCTTAACGGCTATCAGACTGGGCTCGTACACGATCTCCCCGTTCTTATTTGTGACCATATTTTCTCCCCAGTCGACACGCTGGACGCGAGGAATTCACGCAACAAAAGTGGTCAAAGTGGCGAAGGTCGTCTGGTCCTCGTCACCAAGATCCCCCTTCTTTCATACGTAGGAGCCCAAGTTGTTATCAAAATGCTTCCTCGTCCGGTGAAAGGGGAACTTGTAGACTAACTTGCTCACATGTTCCCCCAACTCGTTCAAAACAGGGTCTCATTCTCATCATATTCCAGAGTATCCCGAAAAACATTCAGCATCGCCCTACTCGAAAGAGGCTGCACGAGAATATACTTGTCCTTGAAGTGTCAAACAGATTCCATGTAAGCTTTAAACAACTTCCCATTACCCTGCTTCAAGGAGACCCATCCCTACTCACCGTCAACTTTGTTCTTCTAGAGATGGAAACAGTAGAAGAACAAACGAATGGTGGCCCCTATCTTCAAATAAGCACAGACAATCTCGAACACTCGCATAAAAGTGACCCCGTTTGGATGCAGCTGAAAAGGAGCCAATCTAAGATGCCTGAAAATGGCCACCTGGAAATCTGAGAAAGGAACTCGAAGTCCATCTCCCAGAACACAATTTTGTACATGGGGATCTTTCATTTATCATATTTCGAGCAGATCTGGCTGTCTTTCCCGGGGATCCAAAGCGACCACTCCCCCCGGCCCCCATCATCATACGCAAACACTTCAGTAAAAACTTCATCCTGATGCTCGAAGAAGTAGGAGACCTAATCCAAAGGATCCTCTGCGACCCATGTATGCAGGTCCTCATCGTCCTCAGGCAGAAACAGGCCACCCTGATCAGCGGGGCCCATCTCCACATCCTCTCCCCCACGTGTTGATCAGACTGGTTCAGCTCATCCCAAGATATCTCCAAGATGCTCGACGTACTACAAGTCTCATCCATAAAGCTATGGAAAGATCCTGTTTGTCCATCCGAAAGATCGTCTCCAACATTGTCGGTCATAGTACCTGAAAAGCAGAGGATAAACATGAGTTTGACATTAATGCCAAAACCACCCTTCCACCACTAATCAAGTGAAAGGGCGCTGATAAGCGAGGACCATGCCCTCGACCAGAACCCTCACAAAGGCATCTGAACAAACAAACACTTTTCTAAACAAGACAAACTCCAGTCAACAAAAATGACCTAAACCCTCAAGGATCATTTACGGCACGTCACGAAAATCCAGGGAGAATCCACAGCGACTCCGGTGATTCTAAACTACATAACCACCGTTTGTTACCAACACTCCCCTAAAACTCCCTAACAGACAGGATCCTAAGCTACAACAGCTAAATAATAGAGAAAATTCGGAAACTTACCAGTTACAAAAGGCAGGAAGTTGAAAGGAATGACGACGAACGGTTAATGTTCAAGAAATAGCGGTGGTCGACGGGCAAGCAATGACGAGCAATGCGAGAGAAGAACGAAAAATCAAGAATGCCATACTCCTCTTGTATTTATAGCTAAACTCGCCCACGCGTGAGAGACACACGTCTAGGGAACCGTAGGATCATCATCATTGCACCCTAGCCCCTAGGCCATCATTGCATCGTTGCGTTAGTGGACTACCCGACACACACCACCTCTTCAATTTTCGAAGCTCAAACGACCATCTAATCATCTCCCCAAGAGAAAGACATAACAGACAATGCGCACGCTCCCCGTAAGAAGCGCCTCATTCCACGAGCAGGTGTTAAAGTCATCACTCTTGTTCCCAGAAGCAAAGACTTAGGGGGCTATTATTCTGGACTGACCCAATGGCTAGAGTGGACCCAGTCTAACCTCCTCCTTCGGCACGACCTGTGCGACCACGACTCAGACTCCCTCGCCCTCTGTCGGGCACTATCGATCATTTGTCCTCCTGGACTAGCACTGACCTACGATGATCGACGCACGCCTCTCAGTCTGCCCGACCTCAAGTCAGCCAGACAACCAGAAACCAACTAGACTGCTGTCTGTAATCTACCTCCTCCTCGAAACTAACGGTTAGTTGCGGGCACAGCTGCCCGGTCTGACCAAGTCCTGACAGTTATATATTTTTGCAGATTCGCATATATAGGCCTAAAAATAGGGACCAATGGCCAAGCGCCAGGGGGACTATATAAATCCTCATTCATATGAGGATCAGGGATCGGATATCCACTATTCATCACAAAAACCCCAATACTTTGCTTGTACCTCTTTTGCTCCTACACTTGATCGTCGGAGTGTCTTGCAGATACAATCCTCTTTTTCCTCCTCGACTTTCCAACCCGTCTAAAGATCATCATCTGGCCACCTTACAGGTTCTGATCAACCAGTAAGATCAAAAACCTCTACTAGAAAAGTATTTTTGTACTAGTATTTCTTGTAGGGACTTTAGAGACAGTTAGGTCGATGCTTATTAACATGTTGACTTTCAGTTTGACTTTAGTGTCAATTGAGCCAAAGATATTAGTTTGTTGACTTTTAAAGTTTCACTTTAGTGTGAGGTTGAAGCTAAATAGTTTTGTTGACTTTTAAAATTTGATTTTAGCTTCGGTTAAGTAAGAGCTAACTCTTTTGTTGACTTTCAGAGTTTGACCTTATAATCGGATTAGCCAACACATATTAGTTTGTTGACTTTTCTTTATTAACTTTGACCTCAATTTAACGTCCACGTATACTCAGCTAAGCAAGACTAACTTTGCCATGGCTATTTATAGTTGACGCTAAATCGTAGCTTCAAGTGTTTTAATCTAGGCCCCATATCCACGCTAATTTGAAGCTAAACCCGCAGTAGTGTAGACTTTTCTGCTTGTAGCTTTGGTTTTTGACTATTCAACAAAATGCATTCATTTTAGGGTTCAGGCTTTACGCTAATTGATTAATATTTTGTATTTGTTGGTTAGTAAAGTATATAGAAAATGACTTCTAAGTTATATATAAAATAATTGTTAATAATATATATTTTTATATTATTAATGAAGTAATAAAGTTGGTTACTAATATAATCTAATATTTTTGTCACAAATTGATTCTTTATATTTCATTAAAAAAATCAACATAAAACTACAAATTTTTGTTTTTACTTTTTACAAACATTTGCAAAATTATAAGAATTGTTTACGGTATTAAATAAAGTGAACTAATGATGTCAAATTTTGATGTTAAAAGTTGTGTTAGAGCGATGGCCAATAAGTCCCTAAAAATTTGCTCGAGCAACCAGCAAATATACTAAGAATTCCTGCTCAAACAAAAGCCAGTCAATGATTTTACCTAATATAACATAATCAATACTCTATTAAGCCACCTTCTCAACCTCAAACTACAAACCTCTCGTACTTATATAATGTTTTCTTGACTAATCTCTTATTTTCTTAGTTATATGTTTTACATATATACTCTCCCAATTTCTCTCAATGGCCTTAAGAAATGTTTCTTCCATGACAAACTCTCATTCCCACACAAACCAACGCATGTGCATGTGCTCGCCAACCAATCATCCTGGCTCGTTCAGGTGTAGCAAGCACAAGAAGTCACCGCGTGTTGTGGTGGCTCCGCCCTCATCTTCAACCTCCTCCAAACCGGATTATAATAATTTGGATCACTCGCCTATAGCCATATTGGCCAAGGCGAGATACTCGTTGAAGGCAATTGTCCTCCGAATAGTTAAGGATCATTCTAAAAATGATCCTTATAAGACGAAGTCATTCCAGTCAAAGCCTACTCGCACGTGCATGTGCTCACCGACCAAGCATCCTGGCTCGTTCCGGTGTAGCAAGCACAAGAAGTCGCCGAGTGTTGTGGTGGCTCGGCCGGCCTCTTCTACCTCCTCCAAGCCGGATTATCATAATTTGGACCGCTCGTGGATGACCATATCCCTCAAGGCGAATTGTTCGTTAAAGGCATTTCTACTCCAAATAATTAAGCATCATTCCAGACATTATCTTCATAGGAGGAAGATATTCGAACCAAAGCCTACTCGCTTTTCGGTAATGAACCGTGTTGCAGTTTCTTGACTGATAGGTGTTTAGTCTTTCATGGCAAGCTCTAAAATCTTTTCCATACATTTCCCATGATGTAGCAGAATAGTCACTTCCACATGATCTAATAAGGTGTGATATAACAATGTACAAAAAAAAAATTGTTTCGTTTTTCCATTTTCTCTTCGAGGGAGAAATATGAGAATTTCTTGTGGATTTGAGGTACGAGGATATATTAGTTATCTTGGCATGAGGTTTTAGATGTGTGTGGAATACATGAAATGACATGTAAATCATGTTTGATTGTAAGTTTGTAATGGAAGAAATATTTTTGGTATTGTTTATAACTTTTGGTCAGGTATTTCTCATTTTATGTTTCCTTATAACTTATGGTGCAATTGCACGAGACATTAAATATTTTACAATTGACAATTATATAAAAATATAAGGTAAATGAGCAATAAATTATGCCGCTATTTATTTTTAGATTGTAAAATAATTTTTTTTTTAAATTACATTCATAGACATAAGAGATACAACATTGTTATTTTAAGTCTTTGGACTCTCTATAAAAGATCAACTGCTCCTGGTGCTACGAAACCAAAAGTCTCAAGAGAAAATGGTATGAAAGTATGTTGGTTGTCAGAACACGTTTTCTCATGTTTGACCACTTTACTTGAAGCAGATTTGAGAGCTTCATGTCCCATAGAAAAATATCTAGTACTCAGTCCCACCAGTGGAGAAACTCAAGTTAATTCCACACAAGCATGTTTCCCTCCTACCCACAAATACACCAGAACATCTACTAACCTAAACATCGATCTTCCCTCATGTGGATCAATCAAGAAATCCACACGCGTCTCTTTCATCGCAAATACTCCGGCCCTTCGAAATATATCAAATATGTTAGGGTTTGAATTGTTGGTTTTATTTTGGTAAAACAATATATTTAGTAAGATGTTGGACAAAATATCGTGACATGTTGCTACAAAATTGCAGCCTGTATTATTTCAGTTTGTAGCTAATTTGTTTCTGATATTTTCAGAAGATTTGTTTTTTGTTTCATGTGGATCAAGTTGCACATTTGAAGATTGGATGCTCTGAAGATTTGTTTCAAGTTGAAGAATATTTGATCCACAAGATTGGATGTCAAAATATTATGTCTCGCATCAGAAGATTTAATTTGATTTGATTTTATCTGATTTGATTTACATGATGTTTTGAGCCAAATTTATTATTCAAGCCCAAGTGTTCTCATGCCTATAAAAAGAAGACTATAAACCAAAGGGTGGCCCATGTGAAAGAAAATATTAGAGTTTAGTTTGTTTATTGTTAATTGTGAGCCTCTCATGTATCACTTTGATACTAAGATGGACAAAATTTTGAGTTATAATTTGTGAATCACTCATTAATTATTAAGTAGTAGTGTGTTATGTTTCATTGGAAGTGTATCTTCTATTATTCTTTGTCTTTGTTGTAATTGTCACTGTTGTGTGACTGAAGGGAAGTGAGGGAGGTCTCATATCTAGGAGTTCCTAGGTAGAAATTGTAAGGGTAGTGGTTAGCTGAGAAGTTTGTAAAATATGGGTTGTTTAAAACTTCAAACTAATACTATTATAGTGGATTTTCTTCCTAGCTTGGATGTCCCTCAATGTAGGTGAAGTTGCACCGAATTGGGTTAACAATTGAACTGTGTTATTTACTTTCTGCATTAATTCTTATGTTATTAACTATCTGGACTGTGATGTCTTAACATTATATTTGACGCTATTTTGTAAAGTGTCAGAATTTCAATTGACATCCATAGCAGGAACCTTGTTCTGTTTTTGGGTGAGCTTCAGGAAGATATTTTCTGCAATTATGGAAAAAGAATGATGAAATACTAATATACCATATGTTCTGGAAGGCACCAATTATGACTACTGGAAAGCACATATGGTGGACTTTCTAAAACCTATGGATAGTAAGACTTGGAAAGTTGTCATCAAGGGCTGGAAACATCATGTATTGACAGACAAAGATGGGAAGGACATCACTGAATTAAAACCAGAAGAGGATTGGTATAAGTTAGAAGATGAACTTGCTCTTGATAACTCAAAAGCTTTGAATGTCATGTTCAATAGTGTTGACAAAAATATGTTCAGGTTGATAAAACACATGTACTGTGGCCAAAGATGCTTGGGAAATTCTCAAAACCACTCATGAAGGCACATAAAAGGTAAAAATGTCAAGACTTAAGCTTCTCACCACCAAGTTTGAGAATCTCAAGATGAAGGATGATGAGTGCATTCATAACTTTTACATGAGTATTCTTGATATTGACAATTTAGCTAGTGCTTTGGGAGAAAAGATGTTAGAAGAGAAGCTAGTTAGAACAATTTGCATGTCCTTGCCTAAGAAGTTTGACATGAAAGTCACAACATAGAAGAATCCCAAGATATTTGCAACATGAAAGTGGAAGAACTATTTGGGTCTCTCCATAACTTTGAATTGACTGTTAAAGATATATCGAAAAGAAGAACAAAAGCATAGTTTTGTATCTAACAGTGATTATAAAGAAGATCAACATGACATGGAGACTGATTAAGGTATTTCTAATGCTATTGTGCTCCTCGGGAGGCAATTCTATAGGGTCCTGAAGAGAGTGAATAGGCAGAAAATATCAAATGTCAAGGACATGTCATTCGACATCAACAAAAATGGTGACTCTCAGAGAAAATGATGAATAGAAGAAAAGCCAAATCAAGAAAGAATTATCCAATGTTATGAATGTGATGGTTTTAGTAATATTAGGTCAGAATGTCCCACCTATCTCAAGAAACAAAAGAAGGGGGTTTTTTGTGTCTTAGTCTGATGATGATAAGTCTGAAGGTGAACCTGATGTTAAGACTGTTAAGCATGTTACTGATCTCACTGGAATATGGGGATCTGATGAAGAATCTTGTGATGAGAATGTCCTTTATGAATATTTGTATGTGTCTTACAAAAAGTCATGTGTCAGATGTGAAGAGAGTTGCAAGACAGAAGAGGAACATAAGAGAATCATAGCTTAACTAGAAAGTGAAAAAGAGAAACTTTTATCCACTACCTCTGATCTTCAAAATGAGATAACTGTGTTAAATTCTAAACTTGACAACATGACCAAATCCATAAGAATGTTGAACATCAGGACATATAAGTTGGACAAAATTCTTCAAGATAGGTTAATCCCCTCTGAAAGAAAGAAAACAATCACTATATTCGACCAAACGTTACAACATCCTGTCAGATATCAGGAGAATCAAACTAAAGCCAAGTCTTTACCTTGTAAATGTCATTAGTTTGGTGAGTATGGTTATATAGAGCCTTTATGTTTCAAATTGTATAGGTTTCAAAAACTTCCGGATATTCTAGGGCTAATCATCTAAGGATGAACACTAGAAAGAAGAGGAAATCCAAGGGTGGGGATATTAGTTTAATAGCTCATACTCCTCTTAAAGCTTCGTCTAGAGAAGACTGGTACTTTGATAGTGGGTTTCCAGATATATGACTGGGGTTCAAAAGTATTTGGTGGATATCAGATCTCATTCCACCAGTTTTGTCACATTTGGTGATGGAGATAAAGGTAAAATTAAGGGAGTAGGAAAGATAGTTTGTACTGGAATTCCTATCCTAAAAGATGTTCTTCTTGTAAAGGGACTGACGACAAATCTTATCAACATTAGTCAGTTATATGATCAAGGATTGAATGTCAACTTTACAAAATCAGAGTGTTTGGTCAAAAATGAAAATAATAATATTCTGATGAAGGGAGTTAGGTCTAAATACAACTATTATTTATGGATAACTCAAGAAACTACCCACTCTTCTACATGTTTAATGACCAAGGAGGATGAGGTTTAACTCTGGCACCAGAAGCTTGGACATCTTCACTTCAAAGGTATAAAGAAGATTATACCTAAATAAGCTATTAGAGGCTTACCAACGCTTAAAGTTAAGGAGGGTAAGATTTGCGGTAAGTGTCAAATTGGGAAGAAAATCAAGATGTCTCATCCAAAGTTACAACATCTGACTACTATCAAAGTGCTAGAACTTCTTCATATGGATTTGATGGGACCAATACAGGTTGAAAGTCTTGGTGGAAATAGGTATGTCTATATGGTTGTTGATGATTTTTCAAGTTTTACTTCGGTGAACTTTATCAAAGAAAAATAAGACACTTTTGAGGTCTTCAGAGATTTATGTCAATGTCTTCAAAGAGAGAAGGATAGTGTGATTGTTAGAATGAGAAGTGACCATGACAAGGGATTTGAGAATTCAAAATTTTTTGTATTTTGTTCCTCTGAAGGTATTATTCATGAGTTCTCATCTCCATCACTCCTTAGAAAAATGGAGTTGTAGAACGCAAGAACAGAACTTTACAAGAATCAGCTAGAGTCATGCTTCATGCAAAAAATCGTTTGTATCATTTTGGGCTGAAGCCATGAACACTGCCCGCTACATTCACAATCATATCACTCTAAGAGTTGGTACCTCATCTACTCTCTATGAATTGTGGAAAGTAATAAAACCAACTTTTAAATATTTTCATGTGTTTGGTAGTAAATGCTACATCTTGGTTGGTCGTGAACAGAGGAGAAAGATGGATTCCAAAAGTGATGAAGGGATATTTCTTGGTTACTCTACAAATAATAGAGATTACAGGGTCTTTAAATCTAGAATAAAAGTCATGATGGAGTCCATTAATGTGGTGGTTGATGACTCAATCATTGAGAAAGAGCATGATGTCGATGAAGATGTTGGAACGTCATCTCAGCAGATTGATGCTCTAGATAACGTGTGAGACCTTGAGTCCAACATTGAGTCAGCGGGTACTAAATCAGATAACTCCCAAGCAAACAAAGGTTCGTCTATTAGAATTAAGAAAGATCATACAAATTAACTCATTATAGGGAATCTCAATGAAGGAGTTGCCACTAGGTCCAAAGATGTGATATTTAATGCTTGTTTTGTGTCAAAATTTCAACCTAAGAATGTGAAGGAGGCCTTGACTGATG